TCAACAGGATGATCACAAAATTTATTATCCAAACCAAGACATTTCTATAGTCAAAGGAAGTGCTATTAATTATTATTCTGGAACAACTGGCATAAACTGGGCCCATCCCAGGCGTCTCAGCATATAGTTGCTCTGCCCATTTGGAAAGTGGGAAAGCTGTACTCAATGATCTCAAAGAGTTCTTCTAGGCTCATATTCTATTACCCTCTAAGAAAAAAAAAAAAAGAAAGAGTTGTATTTCTTCACACCGATTTCCTACTCTGACAAATCAGTATGTTGCCTCTTCTACCATGTGGTTTAATTTTTTTCCTTTTTTGAGGAAGATCATCCCTGAGCTAACATCTGCTGCCAATCCTCCTCTTTTTACTGAGGAAGATTGGCCCTGAGCTAACATCCTTGCCCATCTTCCTCTATTTTGTATGTGGGATGCTGCCACAGCATGGCTTGATAAGCAGTGCACAGGTCCATGCCTGGGATCTGAACCAGCGAACCCCAGCCACAGAAGTGGAGCATGTGAACTTAACTGCTATGCCACCAGGCTGGCCCCTTATATGGTTTAATTTTTAATAATCTATGCTCTAGTGAAATTTTCAATAATTAGGATGAACTTTTAGTTAGAGGAATATAGGACTAGGACAGGCTAAAGTTCCCTTTTCCTCTTTCCCAAAAGCATGTAATCATACTCACAACTCCGTCCACATAGCTTGCTTAGTGAGAGGGACACTCCAGAGGGTTTTGGAGTGGTCTCTGCCTCTTGAGTATATTCACTGGGCGTCTAAGTTCCTCAAAACCCCAGTTCTCACAGCTGTGTTCTCTGTGACCCAGACACCTCTGGCAGCCTTTAAAGTTTCCTCACATATTCCTATGAAACAATGTCAAGTGAACAAAATAGAAGAGGCCCCAAGACAAAAAAAAAAAAAAAAAGGTCAAGAGAACAGAATAAGAAGCCTGGAAGCAGGCTCACCCTCATATAAATGGTAACTTGGAACTTGAATATTTAGAACTTGGAACATTTCAAACCACTGGGGAAAGAAAACACAACTTCAAATATAGTACTGAGATGAATGACTCCATGTAGAAAGTGATCACTTAGACCTTTCCTCACATAAAACAAATTGCAAACGTGAAAAACAATATTTCTAGCAGTTTGGGAGAAAATATAACAGAATGCAATTTTTTTTTTTAAAGATTTTATTTTTTCCTTTTTCTCCCCAAAGCCCCCCAGTACATAGTTGTATATTCTTCGTTGTGGATCCTTCTAGTTGTGGCATGTGGGACGCTGCCTCAGCGTGGTCTGATGAGCAGTGCCATGTCCGCGCCCAGGATTCGAACCGACGAAACACTGGGCCGCCTGCAGCGGAGCGCGCGAACTTAACCACTCGGCCACGGGGCCAGCCCCTAACAGAATGCAATTTTATGATATAATAGTAGGAAAGTAATTCATAAGGCACAAAAAAACACAAACCATGAACAGAATGATTGTTAAATTTTACAAATTGCAATTATAACCTCTGTATAAAAAAGGAGTCCAAGGGCTGGCCCCAGGGCCCAGTGGTTAAGTTCAGTGTGCTCTGCTTCAGTGGCCCAGGTATGGTTCCTGGGCACAGACCTACACTACTCAGCAGCAGCCATGCTGTGGCGGTGACCCACATACAAAATAGAGGAAGACTGGCACAGAAGTTAGCTCAGGGCAACTCTTCCTCAGCAAAAGAAAAAGGAGTCTACAACAAAAATAAAAGGCCAGTCACAGATAAACATATAACCAACAAAGATTAATCAAGTAGGATAAAGAAATCTTACAAAGTAAGAAAAAGACAAATAATTCTATTTAAAATGGGCAAAGATTATGATCAGGGAATTTACGTAAACAAAAACAGAAACATCCAATGAACATATCAAAAGATATTCAGGGGAAATGAAAATTAAAACATTAAAATAGAATTTTACACCCATAATTTGACAACAATTAAGATCTGATAATACCAAGCATTTGTGAAAATGTCAAGAATAAGAAATTATTATTCACTGCTAGTAGAAGTGTAAATCAATTCAGCCGTTTTAATGAACAATTTGTCAATACTTATTAATATTGAAAATTGCTTTTTCCTTAACTCAGAATTACATGCTGAGGAATAAATATGAATCTCACATGTTCACAAGTATTCATGTGCAAATACATTTATTACAGCATTGTTTATAATATTAAAAATTAAAATAAACCTATATTTCCATCACTTGGGGAATGAATAAATAAACTAATGATATATCATATAATAGTTAAAATTATCAATTTTAATTTTTTTTTAAGGTTGGCCCTGAGCTAACATCTGTTGCCAATCTTCCCCTTTGTTTTTTCCCTCTCCAAAGCCCCAGCACACAGTTGTATATTCCAGTTGTAGATCATTCTAGTTCTTCTATGTGGGGTGCCACCAGAGCATGGCCTGATGAGTGATGTGTATGTCTGCACCCTGGATCTGAACCATTGAACCCCAGGCCACCAAAGCAGAGTTCATGAACTTAACCACTATGCCAAGGAGCCAGTCCTCCAATTTTAATTTTTAATTTAAAAAAGTAGATTGCAAAGAAAGATAACATGATGCCATTTATATATATTTTTTAAACAAAAACAATACCTCACATCATTTCAGTCACATTCAGGTGTACTAAAAAGTATTAAAACATGATGGAAGGAACACATACTAACTTGAGGACAAATGTTCCCTCTGAGAAGAGAAAGAAATGGGTCGGGAGGAGTAAATTTTGTATCTTCTGCCCTGTTCTTTCTCTCTTCTCCTTCTGAGATTCAATTATACACGTTAGCCCATTTGGTCTTGTCTCACAGCTCTTGAGTGCTCCTAGGGTTTTTGGGTTTTTCGTTTTCATTTTTATTTTCTCTTTGTGTTTTGACTTGGGAAATTTCTATTAGCCCGTCTTCAGGTTTGTTTATTCTTTCTTTGGCGGTATAAGCCTCCTGAACTGCTCATTGACAGAATTCTTTCTCTCTGTTACTTTGTTTTTTATTTCTAACAGTTCCACTTTACTTTCTCTTACATTTTCCATCTCTCTACTGAAATCTCCCATCTATTCATGTATACTGTCCACATCTCCACTACATCTTTTTAATTTTTTTTTCCCCTGAGGAAGATTTGCCCTGAGCTAACATTTGTTGCCAATCTGCCTCTTTTTTTTCCTGAGGAAGATCAGTCCTGAGCTAACATCCGTGCCAATCTTCCTCTTCTTGGTATGTGGGTCACCACCACAGCATGGCTGATGAGTGGTGGAGGTCCAGGCCCGGGATCCAAATCCGCAAACCCAGGCCAGCAAAGTGAAGCACGCTGAACTTAACCACTATGTGACAGGGCCAGCCCCCCACTGCATCTTTTAACATATTGATCATAGTTATTTTAAATTCCCTGATACTTCTAACGTCTGGGCAGTCTCTGAGCTTGGTTTTATTCACTCTTTGTCTTTTAACAGTTGGGGTTTTCTTCTTATGTGTGTATGTTGTGATTTTTTTTATTGAATGCCAGACAGTGTACGTAGAACAGTAAAGACTGAGATAAACAGTATCTATGCCTAGAAATGGACACATAAGTTCTTTTAGTAGGTCATTACTGTGGGGAGTTGAGTCAACCTAGTCAGGAATTGAGTAGGGTTTTAGTTTTGTCGTTGCTATGGCTACCTTCACTATACTGAGTTTTGTTGTTGCTATGGTTACCTTCACTCTACTGAGTTTTGTTGTTGCTATCATTACTATGCACCAGTTGCTCCAAATTCCTCTGGTGTTACCTTGTGCCTGGTGCAGGGGCTGGAAGCTAGAGGATTTTTCTCAATGTTTCTGCTCCACCTTTAGCCTTTAGCCTTCCCCGTGTGCCTGCACCACACAGGGCATCTCCTTCCATATTCTTGTCTGTTCCCCAGTGGTAAGCTGCTGTGGCTTGTTACTCAGTGCTTGCTAGCCTGGCTGGGGTGAGAGGGCAGCAGAGGGGAAATTTTCTGCTGTCCTGGCAGGCCCCGTGTCCCTGGGTCTCAGAGATGTGACTGTTTCAGTGATTCTGTCCTTCCTCCCCATGGCAACCTAACTGCTTTATATCTTTAGAAGGTCTTGTGCAGGAGATAGCTTCCTGCCCTTCCCCACCAGTAGGAGACCACTAATAATATTGGTATAGGATTCTTGCTTAGAATTGTTTTCTACTTCTCTCCCTGAGGAATACAGGATTTCTTTTCTTTTCCTTTCCCCCCAGCCCCATTGGGTCTTCACTTGTGTTGCTAGAGGCAATGATTTGTTGTCCTTCCTTCAACAGCTTACAGCTATTGTTCCACAGGGGGAAAGGTTCCTGCAGTGGAGAGCAATCTCTTTCTTCAGGTCTGAACCACCTAGGAAAGTGTTTTCTGGTCTCCCTCCTAGCCTCAGTCTTTCTTGTGAACGCTTAGCAGAGGTCCATTGTGAAGAACCTATTAATGAGTGTGAATTTCCCTTGTGTCTGGGAATTCCAAGATTTCCACACTGTCACAGTAACCCACATTAAGCCTTTAGAAGTTCATTAAAAATTTTAGCTCATTTCTTACCTACTAGTACAGTACCCAGTGTTTCTTCCTGCCATGTTCTCTGCCAAGGTTGGGGCGGCAGGGGAATCCTGTCCCTTTTTTGAGGAGCCTGTCTTTCCTTAGATTTCAGTCTGCTTAATCACCCTCCAACCTCAATTTTCTAATGGGCTTGAGAAAAGTTGTGATTTTGTAGTTTATCTGACTTTTTCTTGTTAAATAAGAATGACACTTCCAATTTTTACATCCTCAGTGAAAATGGAATCTATCTATATGTTTAATTCTTCATTCTTTTTTTTTCTTTTTTGCTGAGAAAGCTTCACCCTGAGCTAACATCTGTGCCAATCTTTCTGCATTTTGTACGTGGGTCACCACCACAACATGGCTTGACAATTGGTTTAAGTCCGTGCCTGGGATCTGAACCTGTGAACCCAGGCCACCAAAGCCAAGTGCACTGGACTTAATCACTACACCACAGGGCTGGCCCCTTTAATTCTTCACTCTTAATCCAAAAAATTTAAAAAGAGATCCAAAGTAGCAAAGTGGTATTATATGTTAAATCCAGTTGGTGGTTCCATGGTGTAGCAAAGATTTCTTAGCTGGCAATGTCATCACCTTGAATGAAAGACTTAATTTCCTGCCCACCATGCAATTAGATGTGACCACATGACTAAATTTGAGCCAATACAATGTGAAAGTGTTGCACGAAACTTCTTAGAGGTCTCTTTAAAGAAGAAGAGGCATTCCTATGGTGTAGAATGTGGATGTGATTGCTGGAGCTCCAACAACCATCTTATAAGCATGAAGGCATTGCAGGAATGGTGGAGCGGAGAGCTGGAAGTTGGGTTCCTAATGATGATGCTGTAGAACTACCAACTCATCCTGGACTGAGTCCCTACAGATTTCTTTTACATGAGGGAAAAATAAATGTCTATCTTGTCCACACCAATTTTATTGAAGGGGGTGAAGGGGCATTCTATTGCTAGCAAATTTAATCTAAGCCACTGTATTTGGTGTCATATTATTTTCTGAACTTTTTTGCATGTTTGAATTATTTCATAATTAAATTTTTTAATTAAAAATTGCATATAAGGTAACAATATCAACAATATAAAAATATGCACTGACAAAGAGAAACATACAAAAATGTTAACATTGGTTCCCTGTGCGTAGTGGGATGACGTGTGATCTATTTTTACCCTTATCTTTATCCATGTCTATTCAGAGTTTCCACATTGAGAATTTATTATTCATTTAAGTTTTCGTTTGTTTTCCTGAAGTGTGGTTTTCCTCCTCCATTAGCGCTGGTATGTCATTTCTTCTGGGCTGCTCAGAGGAATCCTTCACCATTTGCCGCTTCCATAGCACCTCTCCCTGAAATTTCACCTTTCTTTGTGATTCTTTTCCTCCCAACCACACCGTAAGCTTATTCTGAAACCACTATTATCTGCAAATAAAGACTTGAACCTGCCTCTCTCTCCCCACACTTAACACTTCCTACTCTTGATTTTTCTCCCAACCAGTGACTTCAGGTCCAATTAAGATTCCCCAATAAATCCTGTCTCTTCTGGTTCAGCATTCCTTCCCGAAGGCTGGGGATAACTCCCAAGCACTGGATTAGAGACCATAATGAACACCACCCCACAAGGACCTCTGTCTCCACGAATTAAGGACAATCTGCTACTTCATAGTGAGTTCCCAACCCACTAAAATTACCCAAAACCCCAGAGTTTGGAGACAGGCTTTGTTTCCCTCTTTGCTCAAGATAGTAAATTTTACTGACCTGGTATATTACTTACCATTGCTGTGTTAAAAATTACCCCAAAATGTAGCAGATTAAACAATCCACAATTATCTCACAGTTTTGGAGGGCAGGGATGCAGGAACCGCTTAGCTGGGTCCTCTGCCTCAGGGCCTCTCACAAGACAGAAATCAAGGTGGGCGGTCACGGCTGCAATCAACTCAAGATACACCCGGGGCAGGTGCACTTGCAGCACCTTACATGGTTGTTGGCAGGATTCAGTTCCTCGGGGGCATTGGACTGAGGGTCTCAGTTCTTTGCACGATGTTGACCCGAAGCCACCCTCAGTTCCTTGCCAGGTGGGCCTCTCCAACAAGGCATCCGGCTCCATCAAAGCATGCAAGCCAAGAAGGCAAGAGAGAGAATGAAAAAGTGGCAGCAAGAGAGAGTCCTAGCAAGGTAGACATCACAGTCTTTGTAACGTAAACATGGAAGCGGCAGTCTGTTACTTTTGTCATGATCTATTCATGAGAAGCAGGTCACTAGGTCCAGCCCGAATACAAGAGGAGGAGATTACACAAGGGAGTAAGTACCAGGAGGTGGGGAACAGTGGGAACTATCTTAGAAGTCTGCCCACCACACTAGGTCTTACCATCAGTCCAAAAATCCTCTTCCCCGTTTATCCCAGGAGACCTAGCAGGACCTCAGGCAAACCAGACTCCAAATGACCCCTTCTACCATGCCTAGTTCCATATGCAACCACCCAGACACACTGATTTCGACAGTCCAACGTTGTTCTACTGTCCTCTACTTGTCACACTATCAAATTTAGCCTGTGCTTTCAGAAAATGAAAATAGCAGACAGACAAAAGGAAAGCTTATTTGAAGTTAAAGAAGCATTAAGGATGCTGCCAGTTTCCAAAAGAAAGTCTATCCCTTGGTAAAAATAAAATCCTTATTTGGCTTGTTCAGCATGCTTAACCGAGAGTCCAACAAAGGGATATTCCTGTTCACACTCACTGAAGCCACACTGTCCTTCTGAAAGAGTTATCTTGGCCCTAGGCTGTAGCTCGGCTCCTACAGAGGGACTTAAAAGGAAACAACAGTTCTTGGTCCAAAGCAATAAAGAGACATGTGAGTCATCATGGTCTGGATCCTCCACCAGCATAAGCAGTTCCGTGAATCGCCTCTATGAAAACCCTGCCTTTCTATCCCAAGCTGTTCCAAGTGCCAAAACCTTCCATTCAAGAGTTTTATAACTCAGCCCTGTGCTCAGAAATGTCATTGCACATAAGAGAGCCTTTGATCTCTGGCCATAACCAAGCCCAGAGTCTGCAGCGAAGCGTGGTTTGATAGCTATCTAAAGAGAAAAGCGCTTGGGTTTCCTCTCGTCTATTTCTATTCTACTTTTAATAGGCTGCTTCGCTTCAGGCATCTGCCCTCTGCCCTCCCAGCTTCCAGCTCAACCAGAAGCAAATCAGGCCCATGGTTCTGTGCTTCAAGAGCTCATGAAATAACAATCATGGCAGCAAACACTCCTAAAGGGGTTAATCAGCCCCTGTCCTAAGAAGTTTATGTAGCAATATCATGCAGGAGGTTTCCGCAGATGAGGACACGGAAGCACAGAGAGGCAAAGTCAGAGTCAGCGCGGGATTTGAAACCAACAAGTACGTCTTGTCCGCTTTTTGGTGAAAGAGAATAACATAAGCCCCCACTGAAAAGGCAAAATAGGAAATCAGAAATGCGAGTCTCCCTTTAACAAGGGAGAAACTTTGGAAGAAACTTCTTAGATGCAAAAGCACTTTCTTTTCCCAGGTACTGTGTTAGAAATCCCTCCAGTAAGAAGACTAAACGTGCAAGCCTTTGAACTAAACCCAAACCGTGAGCTGATTTAGTCAAACGGACCGAAGACCCGAGGTCAGACTGAACTAAGCTTTGAGATTTATCAGAAACAGTAGATTTCTTCTGTTGAGGTTTTTTTATCCCCATTCAATATAAAGACACAAAGCCTCCATTGCTGTCAAATTTCTTTAGTAAAAGAGATTTTCTTACTCGTCTGAATTGGAAACCTCAAAGTTTTTAAAGCCTGTCTTCATTAAGTGTGGAAATTCATAAAATATGGCTAGGTCAGAAGATAACGGTAGTTCATAAATTAGACCTAAAATTTATGCTAAACATAACTAAATGCAAAATTTGGTTATTCAAAATTAACTCCAGGGTTGTTTCTCTGTACAAACAGCTGCTAGAATGCAAACTACCTTTCTGCTCTCAGCCCGTGTCACGTGGTGGATGTGAGTCCCTCCCCGAGACAAGGGGTGGGCATGCGTGTGCTGTCGGTGAGACCGCTCCGTCACCCTGGCCAATGTGATCGCTTCAGGGATGGCCACATGTCCCTAGCTGGGCCAATAAGAGCGCCAGACTTTTGCTGAAATTATTGAGCAAGAGGTGTTTTTATACTGGATTTACTAAGCAGGTAAAATGCAAGCTGTAGCTGTTCCAGGCAGCACAGTGGGAACAGCCTGCCTGGAAAGGAAGCCAATATGGAAGAAAGCAGATAGAAACAGCTGTCAATGATTTTATAAGAGCGTCTGGCTCCAGCTGTACCTGGATCTCCTCTGATGCTATGCCGTTAAGTGAGCCTATAAATCTGTCTGGATTTAAATCTGTGACCTGGGTTCCTGTCCCCGGCAACCTAAACAGTCAGGACTAGCACAGAGGAGTAGGTCAGCTCGGCATCCTGTTCAGTTACTACTGACCACAGAAGGTAACGTGAAATGACACGCATGTGAGCTGGGCATTTCAAAGCCACACCCATATCCTGGGTGTGTCTGCTAAAGCGATCCAACAGCCATGTACACAGCTGGAGCCGACTTAAAGAGCTCCTAGGAAGGCCCACCCTCTGGCTGAAGGTCACGTAAAGACATTCTGGAGAGAGAAACACCACACAGACATACAGACACACACACCCATTAGGCAAAAATACCACATGTTTTCTTCTTAGAGGAAATAACCACGAGCAAAGTATGGTTATGAGTCAGTAACCGACTATAATTAGGGGCTTTTTCCCCCAGTAATATCTGAATTAAGGCCGAAAGCATCAGCACAGCACAGCAGTTGGTGAAGAAGTAGCCGCATCTTTCTCGATGTTCCCCGTGACTCAATCCGTGAAGAACAGGCCCCTGCAGGTCAGAAAAAAGGTTTCCTAGGAGAATTTAATACCAAACTCAGTGGGAGTTCCCTCCTCTCCATCAGAGTCAAAATAATCCTACCTTTAGATCTTCCACTTTGGGGTTCAGCACAACTCCAGCATCTACTCCAGGTGCAGACATGGCACCGCTCATCAAGCCATGCTGTGGTAGGCGTCCCACATATAAAGTAGAGAAAGATGGCCACAGATGTTAGCTCAGGGCCAGGCTTCCTCAGCAAAAAGAGGAGGATTGGCAGCAGATGTTAGCTCAGGGCTAATCTTCCTCAAAAAAAAAAAAGAAATAGAAGTCATTTTAAAGACCACTGTGTGTCCCTCCCTAATTGCATCCTGCTTTCCACTCACTCCCTGGAGAATTAACCACTATCTTGACTCTAATGTTAAGCATTCTTTTGCATTTTTAAAAAATAATTGTAGCACGAATGCATGTATCCATAAATAATATACTCTTGCATTTTGAAAGACTCAGTAATCAGCACACGCCTGGTCACGGAAGGAACAGGCAATATGGCCTCTTTTAGATGAAGGCTCCCAAGAAAAGCAAAGCTGAACAGTCTCTGAGTCACAGTCTGGCTTCCACTTCCGCTACTTCTGGTGAAGGCTGGAGGGCCAGGTCTCGTCAGTGAGTCTTCAGAAACAGAGCTCGCCATCGTGGGGCACCAGTCATGACTGCAGTGTGGGCCGGGCGCGGGACATCCAGCCTTCCAAATGGACTATTGAGTATTTTCTGCTTCTAAACCCACGACTGATTGCCAGCTCTCAGGAGTAAGTGTAAACTGAACAATTCTGTGGGGTGAAATGAACGTCCTCAGCAGATCTAAGCAGCAGTACATGCAGGCATTTCATCAGCATGTGGTCAAGACAAGCCAAGTCAAGAAGGTGACTCGAACCTCAGACGTGCTGTTCTCAGTTTGAAAGAAAAGGCAGTGAGATCTTGCAGGTGGCGGCACTCACCCTGTCTCCCGGGTCCACTCCTCCAGTCTGCACGGTTGGCCACGGCAAGCACAGCTCTCAGTCTAGGATCTTTCACCGTCCTCCGGGAGACTTCATCTCATCCTTTCTACCTGGATATCCTAAATCCTGTATCCCATGTCTGTCTTTGTTCATTCTCTCATTTCTAGCAGAGTACATCCTACCTGAGATGAGCTTCTTGAGCAAAGTTGCCTGAGACATAAAGATGCTGAGACTTTGTGTGCCTGTAGTTTTCGCACTCTTAAACTGAAGTGATAGTTTAGGGCTAGAATTCCAAGATGGAATAATTGTCCTTCACAACTTTGAAGGCACTGTTCTGCTATCTTCTTGCTGTCAATGTTGCTCTTAAAAAGTCGAAAGCCATTTTCGTTCCAATCCCTTTGACTTATCTTTTTTTCTCTTTGGAAGCTTGTAGAAACTTATTTGTTACCACTGTCATGAATTTTCACAATGTGTGCCTTGTTGTAAGCCTATTTTTATCCATTTTGCTGTACATTTAATGGACCCTTCCAGTCTGGCAACTTAGATCCTTCAATTCAGGGAAATTTTCTTAAATTATTTTTTGGTGATTTCATCTCCTTTGCTCCCTCTGTCCTTTCATTCTGGAGACTCACATTATTCAGATATTGGATCTCCTGAACTGATCCTTTAATTTCCTTATATTCCCATTCTAGTTTCCATTTGTGTATTTTTTTACTGTACTTTCCAGATGATTTCCTTTTCTTCTATTGAGTTTTTAATTTCCAGAAGCACATGTGTGGCCTCTGAATGTCTCTTTTTCATAGTCTCTTGTTCCTTTATCCGAGATGCAGTGTCCTCTCCTTTCCCTCCGAGGATTTTAATAATAGGTTCTTTTTTACCCTCCCTTGTCTATGCAGTCTCTGAGTTGCTGTTATTTATTTGCTTTTTTCATCCGAACCTACCATGAGAGAGACTTTTCTCAAATATCTAGTACTTTTTGGCCATCTACTCACAATAACCAGTAGAGAAGAAAAACTCATTGAAAGCTCTGAGCTTATGACGAGCTTTGTCAACTTTGAACTTCACTGTAGCATTGTATGGGTGGTGCCTTTTGGAGCAAAACCCTGATGTCAGGATATTTGGGTCTTTCCTCTTGGGCTGATCAGTCTCTCAGCCTTCCATCTCCTGCCCAGAGGGGAGAGCCCTGGGCCAGTGTTCTGTGGGCCCGCTGGAGGACCAGGGCAAGTGGTCCCTTCGTTCTGAATGTAGCGTGCATATGGTCACGTCGTCTCTGTTTTAAAATGGTACAGTGTTGACGTGATATACTGCCCACACCCACAAATAAACTGAAGTACCCCATCCAAAGGCCCTCTGGTCTATCCTATCAGAGATTAAAGCTTCAGATCTCTGCCATGGCGGGTAAAGGGCAGACCTGAGTGACAGGGCAACATGGCTTTACCGTGTACAGCTTTTCAAGCTCAGATTCTGCACCGGCACTTCTATTGCTCCAGTTAATTTGTTCCCACTGACAGCTGAAAAGCTCCACACAAATGCTGAAATGTGGTTAACACGAGTGTTTAAATTAAGCCATTCTGCAAATGCCGTCTGCAGAACCACTCCTATAAACACCTGTGAGAAAGGTATGTGAACACCACCCCAGTCAGGGTGGGAGGGATAAAGAGTCCTTGGCTCGAAGTAGGAAAAGAGGAACTCCTAGGTTAAATGTTGTCTGGAAAAATCTCTCCCGTTACTCAAGTCTGTTCCATCTGTCATTGCTTCCTGTGCCTTCTGCCATCAAAAGGTCCCCCTGTGGTTAAAAAAGTTGCACCTGCTGCTTTTCTAGGGCTTTTTCTGGTTTAATATTCCATGTCCATCATAGACAGGGTTAAGATGTTTGTAAACATCATCTCATTTGTTCCTTATAACAATAGTCCTTTGAATTTGTGAGGTTGGGCACTATTACTACCTTCTACAGAAGTGAAAACTTAGGCTCAGAAAGGTCGCATGACTTGTCAAAGATCAGACTACATGTAACAAGTAAGGCTGGGGTTAGAACCCCGACCTTCTGCCCCGAAGGCACCGTTGTCCACTGGGCAACACTGCCTCAATTAGCAGCCTACTTGAGACATAGCCACTGAAATTTTCACAAAATAATTTTAAGGAAAAGACAACTTACCATTGACCTTGAACAAAGATTGAGATCGCTTCTCACAATCTGTGCCTTTCCTGGGAGGCAGAAATACAAATGGTTCATTTCAAGGAGCTGGAGCTTCCGCCTTTGAACATTAACATTGGAGCCACCACACGATGTGGTGACTGAGGTGACAGCTGCTCAGTGAGGACTTATCCTGAAGACAATGAGTGTGACTTCATGGCGAAACAGGAGCTCAAACAGGGAGTTTCCACTTTCCTCTGTGCCTCAGTCAGCCCAGCTTTGTGCTAATGTCCCACTTCTTCATTTCCACTTAGCATAGTCAGCACCAAGTCACAACTGTGATGTCCTTTGCGTTTTACTTAATTACAAAGAATACTATTAGTATTGAGAAAAGGCACTCATTTTATGGAGCTTCTAAATCTCTGGCTCCTGGAGTTTGACTATCTGGATCATATTAAAGATATAATATATGCCTAGAAACATCTAATGAACAGAGCATGTCTCAAAAGTCATGTGTAAATTACATTTTTTGGAACTTGGAATATATTTCCCCATAAGGAAATTGTACTGTGCTTTTTAAAGGCATTACTAAATAAAGAAATAAATGGATAATTAAGTTTCCAGGTCAGCACACAAAAGCCTGTTGGGCTAGTATTTAACCCGTAACATACCCAAAATATAATGCTAATGTTGGTGTTTCAGATACGCTTGGTTCTGAGAACTAAATACTGTTTTCATAGGAAAACACATTCTCTAAGTGGAAACACCTCTGATGCCTAAACAAAATAAGGAAGGGCAAGAGACCTAACATTTAGTCTTTTTGTGTGTAAAGCTTGGTACTAGGTGTTTAATGTATGTTAGTTCATTCTGTCTTCGGGGCAGCATTTTGAAGAAAGCATTAAGGAAAATGAGCCTCAAAATGGTTAATAATATTTAACGTGCACCAATAACACGTTCAAAGACATGTAAGTAAAAGCAGCAGACCCAGAATTTAAACCCAGGTTTATCTCAGCCTGTTCTTTCTACTAAGCTTAGGAACCTCGCTAGATTTATAGCCCAAATATTCTGAATTGAGAACAACTTGTTCCCACTGGGGTGCCGTAGGGGTGAAATGAACAAAGGTTAGTATTCCGGTCTAGGGCAGCGAATCTCAAACTTGACCATGCATCAGAATCACCTGGAGGGCTGTTAACCAAGATTGCTGGGCCTCACCCACTGTGTTTTTTAATTCAGCAGGTCTGAGTGAGGTCTGGAAATCTGCATTTCTGACAAGCTCCCAGGTGATGCTGATGCGGCTGGTCCAGGGACCACACTTTGAGAATTCATTAAGGCTTCCCTAATAAGTCATCTCAACAAATAGCCAATCCCGGAAGCAATGACCTTCATAGCTGGTGACAAGGGGTGAAATTCACTTAACTCCTGAAGATCTGTAATTATGATTAGTACCTACGGGGAGCTAGCAGGTGAGGTTGCTGCCATGGAGAGACAACCTGGAAGGGAAACAAATGTTCTCAGCAAGGTTGCTCTCCATGCATAATTTCATTTTCTCCATAGAAAGAAAGAAGCAAACAGGACAGAAAATGAAAGGACATGTGTGGCTTTGAAGATAGAAGCAATAACGGGGCAAGGTGGGAACAGCATGATGACTATAATACAATTGAGTTTCTATTTTTTCTCAATGCCTCCAGAGAAGCTTAATCAGTCAACACGTCTTTGCAGGGTCCTTGCAGTGTGCTCAAGTAGGTTGTACGGGGCAGGGCTCCTGACCTCCGACAGGTTACAGTGATGCTTCATGATCCATTTCTTGGGGAAGAAAGCATGCCCCAAAGTGAAATTCCCAAGTAAGTAAAGCTAACTCTTCAAAATACTTAAAATGCATTTATTTGAAGTGTATTTTTTTATCTTAAAAATCTTTCTGAAATCTACACCATCCTCTGATTTTAAACAGAGAACATAAAACACGGTTTAAATTTTTCTTGATGATTCTAGGCAGACATCACAGGTATCTATTTTTAGAATATTAAGTAATGACCACAGGACTTATTGAGGGGTATGTGGCTGTCTGCCCTGCATCAGAGGATCCAAGTTTAGTCTTAATATTTGAATGTTTTTCATTCTTTACCAATTTTCACCTTATTTTTGCTTTCATTGTTCCAACTTGCAATAGTTCCACATCACCTCTTCTAATACGCTGATTCTTCTCTGCTATGGATTAGAAAATGTATACTTTGTAAGAAGCAAGTTGGGGCCGGCCCGGTGGCACAGCGGTTAAGGTCACACGTTCCGCTTCGGTGGCCCAGGGCTCACTGGTTCAAATCCCGGATGTGGACATGGCACCTCTTGGCAAGCCATGCCGTGGTAGGCATCCCACATATAAAGTAGAGAAAGATGGGCATGGATGTTAGCTCAGGGCCAGTCTTCCTCAGCAAAAAGAGGAGGATTGGCAGCAGATGTTAACTCAGGGCTAATCTTCCTCAAAAAAAAAAAAAAAAAAAAAGAAGCAAGCCAAAGAACATAACTCTGAGTGAGGGCCTGAGTGTCTTGCCTATGAATCAAGTGAGCTTTAGGTCCTGGCCTTTCTGAGTGCATTTCTGACAAGCTCCCGGTGACGCTGGTGCTGCTGGTTCCAGGACCACACTTCTGAGAACTCATTATGGCTTCCCTAATGAGTCATCTCTACAAATACAGATATTTCTTCCTCTTCCAAATTATTCTCCCAGTGGGGGCTAGTTTGAAGGCTTCCAAACTTCCAAATATACCTTCACTTTGAAAGGATGGCTGGCCCAATCCTCCCAGCTCTTCTTTTCTCCTTCTGGACAAGCCCCTTTAGGACTCTGGTTTCAACTTCTCAAATTTTCCAAGCACCCAATATAGGACCATACTCCCCAGCCCAAAATTTGTTTCACCTATTTATTGGATGAATAAATAAATAAAGGATGTATAAACACACATGTATTATTGAGCTCTCCTATAAACCAGGTACTATTTATATACTTTCATTTATCTTCTTTAATCCTCACACCCACCTTATGAGTGAGGGATGAACAGCCCATATCTCAAGCTGAGGAAACTGAGATTTGGGGAGATTAAATGACCCACTCATTCAAGGTCATAATTAGTAAATTGCATAGCTGAGATTCCAACTCAAATCTTCAGACCCCAAGGCCAACATGCTTTCCATCAGACCACAGCTACTGCCCCCTTGAGAGCGAACAGAATATTGGGATGCAAGGAATGATGGCAATTTATAGTTTTTTAAAAAGACAAACCCACGGCAAGCGTAATGGCCCGGCTGCCCCACGCCCACCCCTATGGCAGTCAGAGTTCTTTCCCACCCCATACAGAATCCTCAGACCATTTTCAACTTAGTGTCTCTAGTAGCCAGAGCTGGTCAGTTGGAACAGGCCCAGAGTACAAACCCCTATGCTTTAGCTTCACTTATTTGGAAATTCCATTTTGTGGTACCCCACGTAGAAACATTCCACCTAGAAAGTGGAAAACAAGATGCAATTTGAAAAGGCAGATAGATAACTTTGAAGAAGATACACATTCAGCAGAACTGACAAATTATACCTTATCCTAGATCAGTGGTTCTCAACCATGGGCAATTTTGGCCCCCAAGTGGACATCTGGGAAAGGCTGTAGATATTTTTGTCGCCATAACTGGCATCTAGTGGGGAGAGTCCCAGGATGCTACAAAACATCCTACAACGCAGAGACCACTCACCCTCCCCTACAGCAAACAATGATCCAGCCGTAAACGTCATGTGTGACACAGCGGAGAAACCCCGCCCTCGATCACAGCACATGTCAAGGAGGGAGAAGATCCTAGCTTCTTGCAGATTCCTGCTGCTTCTCTCACTTTAGCAAAATAAAGTTGAGGAACTGAAACCACAGGTTTAGGGTCTATTTCTGGCTTCTCACACATATATGCAGAGGTCACACCGGTTTCAGTGACAGCTGGCTGCACGACCCTTCTGTTTTCTTCCAGCCCAGAGGACCTGAAGCAACATAAGATGCTACCCACAGAGCCTGTATCAACATGGCTTTTGGCTTTGCTCTCGCAGCTTCTCTCCATTCAAGACAACAGTAAAGGACATCAAAAAGAAAAGGGAAAGGGAAGGGGTGAGGGGAACAGTAGACCAGAACCACCAGAGCCGGCCTGGTGCTCAGTACACGCACATTGACGTGACGCTGTGACAGCTCCCACAGTCCTCTTGTTCCTACTACTCTTCCAAGTGTGGTGTCCAGAGCAGCAGAATTGGCCCCCCCAGCATCTCCTTAGAACGGTAGAATCTCAGCCCTGCCCAGACCCCCTGACTCAAAATCTGCATTTTAACAAGATGCCTGAGCGATTCGTATGCGCACGCATGTTTGAGAAGCACTGCTCTAGGGTTTCCAAAAGGCGAAATAAAACTGCAAAGTGAACAGCTGCAAAACAGATGCAAAGCGAGTCACGTGGTGTAACATATGACTTCGCCAGGGGATTTATGACCCTCTGTGGACAGTAGCTTGTAATATAGAAAACAGAAATTTGAAGGAATATGTGCAAAAGTAAATGCCACGTTACTTCCTTCTAATTGCCCTAAAAGAACCCCCCTTGGGTTACAGGAAATGGAGGGCCTAGCACCTAAAACAATTTCATGTACCCAATGAGTGCTCAAGCGTTCGGGTTTTTTTTCAATAGGGAACAAAGATGGAATTTACACTGCTCTTCCAGGAGATCATAGAGATTGATCTGATCAGAATTTCCTACACAGCATTCCACAATACTAAAATTTTGTAACAAGGAACAGAAAAGAGTCGATGTGGTATGTTTTAAAATAACCTAGGTTAAGGTGAATGGATCAGATTCAACTTCAGGTCCACAGTCAACTCACCCAGATTGGCTTGGCTTCATCCACGCAGGAAATATTAGCTCCCAGAAACTTTGCAAAGAAGAGCTTCAAGGAAAGCAGCAACCAGCGCTGCAAACCACGGCCTGAGATGCAGGGTTGCAGGCGGCCCTGACAACT